AAGCCCGGTATGGTTGTGACCTTTGCCCCCACAGGGTTAACCACTGAGGTTAAGTCTGTTGAGATGCACCACGAGTCTCTTCTTGAGGCGCTTCCTGGTGACAATGTTGGGTTCAATGTTAAGAATGTTGCTGTCAAGGATCTTAAGAGAGGGTATGTCGCCTCCAACTCCAAGGATGACCCTGCCAAGGGAGCAGCAAACTTCACCTCCCAGGTCATCATCATGAACCACCCTGGTCAGATTGGTAACGGTTACGCCCCAGTCCTGGATTGCCACACCTCTCACATTGCAGTCAAGTTCTCTGAGATCTTGACCAAGATTGACAGGCGTTCTGGTAAGGAGATCGAGAAGGAGCCCAAGTTCTTGAAGAATGGTGACGCTGGTATGGTGAAGATGACTCCTACCAAGCCCATGGTGGTTGAGACCTTCTCTGAGTACCCACCATTGGGACGTTTTGCAGTGAGAGACATGAGGCAGACTGTTGCAGTGGGTGTCATCAAGAGTGTCGACAAGAAGGACCCAACTGGAGCAAAGGTGACCAAGGCTGCTGTCAAGAAGGGTGCGAAGTGAACTCCCATCAACAAAACTGTATCCGCAGATGAATTAAAGAAGTATTTTAGTTTTGTCACTTTAGTTTGGTATTTGGTCGCTTGTTTGTGTTACAGCTACTCTTTTTCTCCGTCAGAGCGTTGTTCCCGGAACTGGGTTCTTGATCGGAGGTGGCGGAGCTACTTAGCATTTAAGCTTCCTGTCTTTGCCTTTTGCTTTGTTTTTTGAGTTTGAACTATTATGGAGAATTCGGTTATATGATATTGTGATATTCCTGCGATTGTTATTTTCTTATCTTTAGTTTTATTTCGTCCTCTGCATTTATCAATTTCTAAGCTCGTTCTCAGTACTCACTGTCGCTAGAATATGCTTTTCTATCAATTTCGCTGGTTCAGTCTTTTAACTACTCTTTTAGCATAATGAAGAAATTTCAGTGTTATTTTTTCCGATCGAAAATCATGAATGTGGTTTCTTGCGAACAGAGACTTATATATGATCAACATTCTAAATCAAAATTACTCACAAACAAACTCCTCTACGATGTAAAACGCCGATAATAGAACAAATTAAGAGTACATTACATCAACCAATCTTACTTACATCGCCAATGACTAAATAACAAAACTATTGTTACATAGTTCGTAAGCAAAATAGTGGAATCTTCATGAGAATTTAATAATTGTTACACATAATAAACTTTACACAATAATTAAACACTTCATGTTATCTGATATGATCGGCTCAATCAATAGCCTATATCAGTCTTTCAGGTCGTGAGTTTTCCCGGATCTTATCAAAACTTCAAGATTTATATTATTGACTAGATTGTAAAAAAGGATACAAACCTTAGTGATTGGATTACCAAATTTACCAATTCGGGCATGGATCCAAGTTTGATATGAAAAAGTGCAAGTAGACCTTTTTTATCCTCAATAATTTTTTATCCTTAAGTAACAAGTAGACCTTTTTTATCCTCAATAATTTTTATTTATCATATAAAATACGCAAATTTTCAATAACTTTAATATACAAAAATGAATTCACATAGATATATGTAAAAAATGAATTACAATACAACCTCTATAAAATAAGAACACAATAAACTATTAAATTTTGCCAGTCTCGAGTCGAGCCAAGTGTTGATGTATGTTTTTAATTTTTAAAAATGAATTTTTTCTTTAAACTTAACTTTATAAACAATTTTATGTTGTATTTTCAGATTATAATCTTGTTGTATTCTCAATAAGATATCATAAAAAATAGCCAAAATTTTTATTTACGTTTTCAAATTCTAAATGAAGATTATATTTGTTTGGTTATTTTATAAGCTTTTAAAATATAATAAATGAGATTATTAATCATACATTTCAATTTATGTATATCATTTGTCTAAGTGAATTGATATATAATATTTAAAATACAATAATTCAAATTTTCTAAATATTAAAAATCAATTATAAAAGTATAATAAAATTTATAACATCCGAAAGACTAATGTTATTTTTGTAAAGTTGAGTCAAATTCGTATTTTTCAAAAAATTGAAAAATTATAAAATATCTCTCTAAATAATTATGAATTTATACTATAAAATAAAAATTATTGATTTATAAAGAAATTTATATTATTATAAATTGTTGACAAAAAAAAATATAAATTAATAAAGTACCAAAGGTTCTAACATTATTAATTTTATAGAGGTTCTAGGCTTCTAGCGTTACGTATTACTTAAGAGGAAAATTTAGAACATTAAGCGAAGCGATTTGTTTTTGTTATATGTGATCCTTTTAGATTAATACAACAAGAGTTTGAACAAAAAAAAAAAAAAGATTAATACAACAAGATAAATATGTTCACTCGCGGAAAGTTTCAGGAATCGTGGTTTTGGTTAAAAATAGCGACTTTTGTGGGTTATAGACCACACATTTTTGCTTAACGCGCTCTACGCGCAGCTGATGCGCGTGGGTTTTCCTATCAATATATCTATAGCTTAAACTGGACCGAACAATAATTTATTTTCTGTATCCCATAAGCTCATAATCTCATAATGGACTTTTGCTGTTGAATTAAAGCCTAAGGCCCAAAGGTACTTTTGCTGTTGGTACCAAATTTTGATTATTATTCTACTTATCCATTTCGAGGTTTATATAAAATACTTTTTCACTTCGTAAATTAAATGTCAATGTTAATTTAGTGAATTCGTTATAATAACAGTATGGTATTGAAATTTTTTTTGCCAAGAAGAAGAAAATATATACTTACTAGTCTTATAAATAGCTTCTTATTATATAGAGTAATATGTGGTGAACTTGAATCTCAGTAAAAAGATACAAACTTGATCGTTGACATGATCAGATTTATGGTTGATCCGACGAAAATGGTTCTTCTCGACTGATTCGTAGATGAAAATTGCTCATTCGTTGCTTACACAATGACACTAAATGAAATTCTAAGTTTTTAACCTTGCTGGTCCTGGTTTGGTTTACTTAAGATAACTCCCCGGCTTGGTGGTGATTGTATAGGCCGGATTCGGGGATTTGTATACCCTGAGGGTGGGATGGATCATAACGAATTCATGATCATTGGGAACTGGTCATGAATTTACAGGACTTGATCAGATTGGGCTGTAGCTATGGCTGGCTTGATCTCTCAGATCGATCATCAACTTAACAGACTTGGTTTGACTAACAATGGATACCAATTTTGATTTTTGCTACTCTCGATACTAAAACAAGACACTTGAGCTTAACTTAGTAATCAGCGTTTATAGTTGCTTTAGTTTGATCAGAGTTAAATTGTATCTTCTAAAATCTCATCCTTTTGCTTTAACAAATTGCTCTTCAAAATCCATTTATGTAGCAATGTTTCTTGTTATGTGTGCCAAGACGCCAAAGAGAATGAGAGGAAATTCCCAAAGAACATGAAAAATATTTAGACTAAGATGAGACCAGATAAAATCCGCAGGAATGTCACAGTCACAATATAACAGAATCTCCAGAAAAGGTTCAAATCGAAGAAACAATTCAAAAGCAAAAAACAAAAAGCTTGGGTGCTAAGTAGCTCCGCCACCTCCGATCAAGAACCCAGTTCCGGGAACAACGCTCTGACGGAGAAGAAGAGTAGCTGTAACACAAACAAGCGACCACACACCAAACTACAGCAACAAAACTAAAATACTTCTTTGATTCCTCTGCGGATAGAGTTTTGATGATGGGAGTTCACTTCGCACCCTTCTTGACAGCAGCCTTGGTCACCTTGGCTCCAGTTGGGTCCTTCTTGTCAACACTCTTAATGACACCCACTGCAACAGTCTGCCTCATGTCCCTCACTGCAAAACGTCCCAATGGTGGGTACTCAGAGAAGGTCTCAACCACCATGGGCTTGGTAGGAGTCATCTTCACCATACCAGCGTCACCATTCTTCAAGAACTTGGGCTCCTTCTCGATCTCCTTACCAGAACGCCTGTCAATCTTGGTCAAGATCTCAGAGAACTTGACTGCAATGTGAGAGGTGTGGCAATCCAGGACTGGGGCGTAACCGTTACCAATCTGACCAGGGTGGTTCATGATGATGACCTGGGAGGTGAAGTTTGCTGCTCCCTTGGCAGGGTCATCCTTGGAGTTGGAGGCGACATACCCTCTCTTAAGATCCTTGACAGCAACATTCTTAACATTGAACCCAACATTGTCACCAGGGAGCGCCTCAAGAAGAGACTCGTGGTGCATCTCAACAGACTTAACCTCAGTGGTTAATCCTGTGGGGGCAAAGGTCACAACCATACCAGGCTTGATCAAACCAGTCTCAACACGTCCCACTGGCACCGTTCCAATACCACCAATCTTGTAGACATCCTGAAGAGGAAGACGAAGGGGCTTGTCTGATGGCCTCTTGGGCTCGTTGATCTGGTCAAGAGCCTCAAGGAGAGTTGGTCCCTTGTACCAGTCAAGGTTGGTGGACCTCTCAATCATGTTGTCACCCTCAAATCCAGAGATTGGCACAAACGGGATTTTGTCAGGGTTGTACCCAACCTTCTTCAAGTAGGAAGACACCTCCTTGATGATTTCATCGTACCTGGCCTTGGAGTACTTGGGGGTAGTGGCATCCATCTACAAAAAATAATGAGAAAATACAAAGTTAGGGGGACTAAACACAACCAGAAACAAGCACTTGTCCATAACATATAAAAAAAGATTTGGTTACCTTGTTACAACAGCAGATCATCTGCTTGACACCAAGGGTGAAAGCAAGGAGAGCGTGCTCACGGGTCTGACCATCCTTGGAGATACCAGCCTCGAAACCACCAGTGGTGGAGTCAATGATAA